GCAGTGTTTTTACATTTCATTGATTTTCTCGAAAACTGTAATAGATAGAATGAATCCAATAGATGCATATGAAAGCTGAATGTTGGTGGAATCTAGCAAGTATTCATATATTGTTGTGGTTTTATACGTTTAGCAGTAATTGGCGTTTGAATTTGAAAAAACGTTAAAAAACGCAGTGTTTTCACATAATTTTTCTCATTTTTAACGTTAATGTTAACTTTGTATTAATAATAATATTTAGGAGACGGAACAAACAATTTTATTGATTATAATGAGAATGAGTGTTTGAAGGATTATCAAATGATTAATTGTGATTTTGCGAGCTCCGCTTAAAACTCCATTTACCCACATCAAATACTTATCAACAGAGACGAAAACCACGAAATTGGTCATCGCGTTCACGTCGATGCACGTCGAATGACCTAAGGAAGCGACTCCGACAAGAGTGTTCTTCTTGTAGAAGAGTCCACCGCCAGAGTCACCCCTGCAGATGATCCCTTTGTTCTCGTCGCTCGAAGTGCATAACGATAAATCATTATGACACTGATTTCCTATCAACAGTTCCGTCTTCGTTATCAACGTGCTGTTGCCCCATCCGGTAAATGTCATGTATTTTCCGCGCAGAGAACTGCCGGCGATGAGTAACGGTAGCTTCGCGACGGGCGTTTCTATCGGCGAAATCTTGATCATCGCAAGATCGTTGGCGAAAAGTTGACGTTCCTTGTATTGCGGATGCACCGCGACGAATTTCCCATAAGACTTGCACTTGTCGATGGTCGGATCAAGGATGTTGTGACAGACCCTCGCCTTGGACGGATCCACTACGGAGAGTGGGGTGATGCAATGTGCCGCCGTTATTACCCAATCGGTGGCTATCAACGTTCCACCGCAATGGGCCACCTCCATATGGGACTGGCTTTGATTCCGAACGACGAAGAGGGCAACGATGAACGGGATCTCGTCGTACGAATGTATTGGAGTTCCGCTCATCAGACCGCACGGAACGCGACCATCGGCATTGGCGAACGCGAGCATTAATACGAGTAATTTATACATTTTTTCAAACCTGTCACATTGACAATTCATTTATTTTCCTAGATTGGTAGCAGTTTGGTAACCATATCAATAAAACTTGAAACGTCAAAACGATATCATTTTTGCTTTTCAGCTAATATCTTAGAAAATAAGATTTAGTAATGTTTCAATGTTGTTATTTGGGTCCAAACACCAATTTTTTTGAAATTTTATCAATAATGAAACTACCATACTTGCACCATGACTCTATTGTTGCATAACATCTACCAACCATATTAATAATGGTTACGCAAAACTATTAATATGCAACTTTTGATGCACCTAACAATACTAGTACACAAGTATCAATGTTCTAGTACCATAATTACCAACAGTTGGTACGACCTGGTTTTGTTTTGTATGCATCAAGATACCGAAGCGAAACGATTTTTGTTTTGTTTTTTTTGCGATACGAAATTATCCTGCGCTGTAAGCCATTCGATTTACTTTGCCCGTTCGGACAATAAAAATTCCTGGATGCACACACCACGGTTTTTACTGCCGCACAATAAACCGCATTATTACCGTTCCTCGAAGCACCGCACTCTGCATCCCATCCCTTTTGTTGTTCACCCGAGATATTTCTAATTTACTGCAACGCCCGTAAATCATTTCGCATTATTATTTGCCATCATTCTTATAACAACAATGGGAGAGGTGAAATTTCCTTTATTCAAACTCTATAACGAAAAGAAAACTATAATATCGTAACTGAAGTAAGGAAGGAAGACTACTTGAATAAGTAGGCATTACGTGACATTCCGTAGCAGTAGCAGAAGTTGCGGAAATGCCAAAATTATGTGCATCAATATGCCGGGAATATGCACTGAGCATGACAGCAACTTGAATCCGTTTTGAATCAATTGCATCAACCGAAGAGCATCGTTTCGTTCATATTTCTATATAGTAAAACACGTTGTAGTCAAATCACGTAACAAATATTTCAATAACTTAACCTTATTTTCAATTGACATTTGTTATATCAAATTTCCACTAAAACTTTTTGTTTTTAACTTTTATTTAATTATAACAAAAAAATGTTCGATGATGATGTTATTAACTATATTGATTATATCTGATTTTGGTGAAACAACTTTAAATTAATTAACTTTTCATAAAAAATCCGATATAGTTTAAAGACCGATAAACACCGAAATTATTCAATCATTCAAAAATATACTCTACAAATTGATTATGCAATAATAGAGACATCAGTGCATATAGAAAAAGAAACATTATTTTCGCATTAATCATAAATTTGAGGTTATTGAAGTTACGTTTAAAATATAGTAATAACATCGAAACTTTTCAAATATTTCCTGATATTAGAGAAAAATAAGATTTATTTTTAGTACAAAGCTATATAACTTGACTTATTGACGTAGTTACCAAATTGTTGCCAACTTTCGACAACTTAAAAAAATATTTGGTTTGTAGAAATTTGGTTATTTTCAATTGACATTTATTATATCAAATTTCCACTAAAACTTTTTG